ACGATGAAAGCGATTAAAAAATTTTGAATTAAATATTGGTCATCATCAGATTGTAAAAACTCGTTTTTTTATTTTTTTATATCAGTGAACGATATGTTTAATTTGCAAAATCAAGCTTTAAAAGAGCATGAAAACGACTTCCCAAATACCAACCACGCAAATATCCTGCTATCTGGGGCATGACTAAAAGGATGCCATTGATGCTAGCTTCTGTTGTGACGTTTAGTGCTTGACGGCCACCTACATTGGTAAATAAGGGTGTTTCGTAGGTCGTACGCAAGATCGATTCGTTTCTTGTGGGACCTATAGTGCCGTCATTTGGAGCGCGACTTGAGGACGGGCCCGTGGGGCACGCAATCCGCACCGTATGACGTACGAATCATGCCCATTATTGACAAGGCGCTGATGTCACGTTCGCGCTAACCGCGTCACGCAGTATACGTGGCTGAGATAAATAAAACATATTAACATAAAAATCTGCTTGAGACCAACGAAAGTAATCCATGGAAAAGGGGAACACAGGGGACACAGGACAAACACAAATCTCCAAACAGAGCTCGCTTGCATCTTTGCATTTAACTGCAACGTTGGTTATATAGTATATTGATAGAGTCTAGGGGTTTAGTACATTAAAACTGTTCGTAGAGTTCAGCCTCAACGCACAGCAGTCCTATTCCAACATGGCGCACCAATCTCCCACCTCTTCTTGATCGTTTATGCATGTCTGTGCTAGGGTGCCCTCATGTGCGCTTTGCGTAGGGTGGAGACATGTGGCCATTTTGTTCCGACACTCTTATTTGTCTTTTTTGTTCAGAAGCGCGTGAAAGAGCGCGTCCCTGCACGCGTTTGTGGCGCTGGCTGTGCAATGGCGACATTTTGTTTTTGTCATTTCTTTTTGTACTCCACCCCTGAGCGCGTGCTCTCGGCATCGGGTACTACAAAGGGTGGCATCACCCTAAACAGAAGAACATTGAGGCACCCTAGTCTGCGCACACCCCTTGGTTCCACCTAGGTTCCACCTTTTGGCTGCAGGGCACGAGCTCAATGACAAGCCTGCTTTCCTGTTCTGTTCGTAACGCTTGAGTGCTGATGACTTGTACCTGTCCTTCGCGTGTCCAGCCCGTGCCCGCACTATCACAGTACACAAGGCGTAACTTGAGCCATGGTTTAGAAATATTTTGGTGCATTTTAGGAAGACGAAATTAAAAAAATAGGCATGTTCATCGTTTAGAGCAAGCCAGGTTATTGTTTTTTTGTATTTTGCACAATAAAATAATTAACTAAAATTAAGTAATTAACTTTTTAAATATTCATTTGACTCCGTAAGTGTGACGTCATGGGTCCAAACAAACCGTTGCTAGGCTCGTTGTTATGGACAAATACACGTGGCTGAGGATTCGCTACGGAAACCCGACCGCCCAAAAACCAGGAGTAGGATTTAAACTTCTAAAAACCACAGATATAGAAAGCTTGAATGTCATATATGTTTCGACAGAAGTGTGCCGGTAATCGCTTGTTTCTGAAGTATTTACGACTGCAACTTCCGGTCCTCAAGATGCCTGCAGCAGACGTCGAATGCAAGAAGTATGACGTCTACCGCACGCCGGCCGGCCAAGCCGGCGCAATCGTTTGAATCGTGTGAATAAAGAAGTTATTCTGAAATTGGATTTATTTGAAATATAATGATTTTCAGTCATTTATAAGAATTCATAGTGGGGTGTGATGCAAAATATGGTTTATCGAAAGTCCGGGAGTTCATCGAGATGATTGTCTGCTAGAATATCGCATTGCACCCGTGAGAAGAGCGCTTCAGGTGATCGGTTGATATCCCAAATTTTATTTGCGGACTCGCGCTATTCGAGGGTGCTTCCTACCTGGTTGTAACCATCGCTGCGATGGTTACTGCGAAATCGTGATTGACATGCAATGTTTTAATAACCCGACAACCTCAATATTAATAATAATACAAACGACTGACCTCGAAGACGTACGATTTGTTTCTCATAGTGACCTGCACTACGGCGGTAATGCACTTCAGGTCGTCGTTGTAACTGATCTGCATGGCGTGGTTTGATATTACGGCATGTTCACCCTTCTTAACTAAGCTGGGTTCTTCACAAACAAAAAAAAAAAAAAAAAAAAAACACATTGCGGAGGCCTTCACGGCCATGGCAATGCACTTGCTTTTGTCACTGGTTTATGGACGCAATTCAATGAAGACGCCCGCTGCAACATAGGCCAGCAAATGATGTCGTCTGCTACCAAAGCAAAGCGGAGTGGAATACTTCAAAAGTGGCTTTCATTGTTGCAATACGACACTGAGACGGCAGGAACATATTCATAATTATATATTAAGAAGTGAGGTTGCTTACAAGAAAAAAAATACCTACTTGTAAGCAAAAATCTAGCCTCATGTGGAGTCTCCGTGCATTAGTCCATAGCGACGTCCCTGGCAACGGTATGTTTGGACCCAGACGCCATGTTTTGACGTAGTCACTTACGCGGTCAATTACAGAGTTGTAGAGCGTCCTCAGACAAATCCAATGCAGCGGTTTTTGCCAAGAAACCATAACACGGTTCTTCTGTCCGGACTTCGAAAAAAGGCACACGAGTTATGAACAGAAAAAAAAAAGCCACAAAAAACTTGAATCTGTTAACAGCGCTCTGTCAGGATCGCTCTATTCAGCACGCGGACCTAGTTTATTCTAGAGTGCTTTCATGTGCGCTTCGCGCACATGAAGGCACTCTAGAATGCAAAGCGCACATGAAGGCTCCCTAGTGTATTCGAGCCACGGCTAAGAGCGCTGCAATACAAGGCACGCAAGCGCAAAGTCAAGTGTTTTTTTTTTGTTTTTTTTTGTAATTTGCGAGCTTCTTTCAAAGTCCAGAAAAAAAAACGTGATATGGTTTCTTGATAAAAACCACTTAATTGGATGTTTCCGAGGGCGCTTTATAACTTTGTATTTGGAACCTTTGCTCTAGACTGAATATTTCAAAAGTTCATTCCTTTAATAATAGTTAATTATTTTATAGGGCAAAATACGAAAGCTTGCCTGACGTCTAAGCAATCCACATGCTTATTTCTTTGGTTTCGTCTCCCTAAAATGCACCATATTATCTCTTAAACATAGCTCAAGTTACATGCAATACGCTGTAAATAAATAAAGTGGTCAACCCTTTTCCCTCTTTTCGAAAGCACTACCGGTATAGCCTCGAAGGGAATTAAATCTAGAAAAAATGACTAAGACGACGTTATCAGACAAACTTTGCAAACGGTCAGGGTGGACCACTGCTGCACATGCTTAGCAGCACATGTCAATAATATAGCAACCTAAAACACGCAAGTGAACCTTCACTATATGACAGAGGCGACATTGGAAGTTTTCCACGCAAAAATAATTTATAGTACGCTGAAACTGTCCTTTACGAATTTGACGTCCCCATAAGGCTCTGCTATCATCTAATCTAAGCTGAAACTGAGAGTAGCTACGCTTTTTTACCAGCGTAGGTGGCTGAAATTCCCCTAAAACCCTCAAATTTTAAATAAAAAAAAAAAACTTTAAAACGCCCGTTTAGTCACTTTTCCTTGCTTACATGTCGTTATGTTAAGAACAACTAAATTCTGAAATTTTGAAGTAAAACCTTTTACACGTACATCGTCTTTCGTGAATGCAGGAAGGGCACAACAGCGCACATATCCAAAGAGACTGTATTTCAAGTGCTGAGGCTGCGAGAAAATTCCACCGGAAATATAGTCCTCCTTCTAGACACTTCATACGAAATGTGTGTAAGTAGCGTATCTCCATAACTCACCTGATGATTCGAGAACCCAGGACCCGCACATTGACATCTTATTGGCGGTGTGTGCTGTCCAATGGGACCCCATACTTGCACTAGGCCGCATGCGGGCGGCTCTCCTTATATCCTGACTCCGTTCGTTTCCTCGATGGTATAGAGCGCACCCTGAAGTATTAAACATAAACTACCCTTGGCCATACAATGGCCTAAACTGCCATAAATAAATAAAGTAAGGAATTGCTAGTATATTACTATAGTATGGAAATACTGAATCAAGTTTAATAATAATAGTAGTAATACAATAGCAAAAGTTGCACACAATGTTTTGCTAGGTGCAGGTGCAAGCACCCGGCCTTAGAATGAGTACTTCAGTTCCGCGCAGTTCATTTGTACAAATTAGAGCAACTTCCCCTCCTATTTTACTCTTCTTCCATGAAAAACAATACAAGCGATCAGTACGGAGAACCAATTTCTCGATACCGCGGTTTAGATAAATCTGCAGACCAACGTGGGAGATGAGGTTCTGCCAACGTTTGAAGGTCACGCACACATTTCCCCGTGTTTTAACCATTCCAGTGTTTCCGTGTCGTGTCGCGACTACAAGCAGACATAGTTTTTTTTTCTTGAAGTTGCAAAACATAGGCACGCCGAAATTACTTTTCTTTTGTGCTCCAGCCGCAGCATAGTGCCGAAATAAAACAGCTGTAAGAAAATAAAATAATATTTTATTGGCTCGAAACAGACTCAGGTATTCTTAGGTACGTTGAGCACTTACTCTGTTTCATAAATTAGTAACAATTCTGTTAAAACATAAAACCCAAGCACCTTGATGTGCCGTGTTTGACTTGTGAATAAGCTTCGAATGCACCAATGCACCAAGCATGCGGTCCTTGGGAATAAATGGCGGCGCAGCAGTGATATCACCTCCCCATTGAATCAAATGGCTGCGCAGAACTCGCTTCTGGGCCGTGCTTCGCGCGTTCGCATAACAATCGTCGTATCTGTAAGAGAGGCAGAGCGTTAATTTTGTTAGGAATTGTTCCTGCAAGCAGTGCTTAAAGCAAAATCACCAACTTTAGCACAATCTTCATAGGAACAAATAAAAAAAGCGTCTTAAGCCTAGATGTGATTTTGTTTTTCGTATTAAAACACAGCCCCGAAGAATGTTTGGACGTCTTTCTCATGCGTAGGCGGGGCGATGGATGCACCTCGTGCACCGCAGCGTGTCTCGCTTCCTGCAAGACCGGGTTCCGGACGGTTTCGGCCTGTCCCTGGTCGCCCTGTCCCAGGACCGCGCCCGGCCGCTGAGCAACCTGACCAGGGTCGCTCCCGACACTCGACGCGCCCTCCGAGCCCTGGTGCCCTACGACTGCTCGCCGGGAAAGGGAGTGCACCTGCTCAAAGGCGTTCGCGCCGCAGCCAAGGTGCGACAGTACACCCCAACCCCCTTAGTGTTACGTGCTTGCCAGAATAGTAAAGAGGGACTGGTGTATGGCTTGTGGATGGATATGTCCGTAAATAATAATTGTATTATAGCCCGGCAGCTATTATCCAAGCAGTGTAAAGTGAATTCCGAAAGTGCGTGTCCAACAGGGGCAGCCTATGTGGGGACTCTGTGGAATTTGAAACTGGGCCACATAGCGAGCCAAATGGGGCGGCCCATCCGGCCCCGTCATGAGACCCACAGGGAGTCGGATTAGGCAGCCCGCCCGGACCCCTCTTCTGGACCCACATGGGGCTTTCTTGAGCAGCCCACATGGGCTCCTCCTGGAATCCGCAGAGGGCCTACTTGAGAATCCCAGCTGGGCACCCCTCGTGAGACTAACAGAGGACCCTAACGGGCAGCGCACGTCCCTTATATGCCACGCAGGAGGCGCAGTTGTGCAGCCCACCTGTGCTTATTTAATCTTTCCCTAGATAACGTGGGATAGGTTAGGTCCCATTCACACAGTAGCGTTTGAGTACGTTTTATCGGGATCTGGGGTATTGCACCGATATACGGCCGGGTGTCACCAGGACGTATGTGCTTCGCTTAAACCGTGGCAACCAATTCAAGGAATAGCTTGGCACGCGGCGTGCGAGAGCCCCATATCCCGAGACTCGACAGCAAAACTGCGTGAATGGGCCTTTAGCCGGAAGTTCCGGAAGTTCTGCTTCACATCTGAAATATGTGAATTTTTGCGTAACACCAGGGAACTGAGATTCGCAGTAACTGTGGTTCAGTCTAATAACCGTAGTTAAATGCAAGTGTTGCCAAGGGTGCAACTACATATAAGTGCGCTTTGGCATAACGGTACAAGGATATTTTGTTAAAATCAGATGTATATCCAAAGAAACTAATGAGTGTTGCTCAGTTAATTATTGATGCTAGTTCCTTTTATGCTGCAATCCTAATGATATAGTGGCGCCATATAAACACGTTTGCGTCTAACGTATTCTCTGTTACGTTTTTGTGCTTGCTATTCAGCCTTGACGGCAGTGCCGGTGCGATACCAGTGTCCTGCCCGTTACCGAAAAAAAGTAACGAAATAGAGTTACTTGTTAGTTTGGTAAAAATTAACGCGTTATTCAGCTACGTTACTCTTTTACAAACGTAACGAGATACCGTTACCGTTACTTTTCAAAAATAACGAACGTTACTCTTACGTTACTTTTGTGTTCGAGTACACATGTTTGGCCGAGATGTGTTCGCTTACAAACATGCCTTCGGTCTCGTGAAAGAAAAAACTATTCAATATTAGCCCGCCTGCTTAATATATTAGATTATGACCATGGACTTAACTGAATGAACGTATTAAGAAGTTCTGGTAGCGCTAGCACTGGCATCAAGCAATGAGGACAATGAAACATCACCAAGTTCTTAAAAATACCCGCGATCTGTGAACATTGCGAAAGGGGGGTTGAAGAAAAACTAATTATAATCGTGAAACGTACTCACCTCGATGTGCTTTTCTAAGTTAGAACTAGACGTCTTTGATGGGCGTAGCAGCTTAATTTTCGGCACGCAGAGTAGCCATTGAAACTGTAAATTACCTGATTCCGTCTCCTCTAGATAATATTTTTCTTCACTCCTGGCCATAGCGACGGAGTTTCTTTATTCATATTCATCTCACACGTCAAATGAGTCGGAGATGGTAGTAAATCGGCTTTTATAAACTACAGCATGCAAACGGGGACTGCTGGAACAGAACCAGCCAACCAACACCCGTCATCTTTACGCCGGTTTTAGTAACAGTCCGGTTCATACTATTACCAGAGACTGATTTACTTCACTATGTGGAACGGGACACCGGTTACCAGCACACTGGTGATAATCACTTGCTGCCTCTTACCAGCAATAGCTCTTAGCTTTTCTGCTAAAAGAAATAATGGTTTCGTGCTTGTAAGTCCTCTTTCCAGGTTTAAAACTTTTTTTTTTATTTCTTTTTTTATTGTGACCTTACAGAAGCAAAGACTAATCAAGCGAAATATTCTTATGTGTACAAAAATAGGTCAGGAACTTTCAGGCAGCGAGGGGAGAGCGAGGGTAAAAGATTCCACAAAAAGTGCTTTTTTTTTTTTCTGGTAACTAGAAAAACGAGCAAATCGCTTCGCCACTAGTTGTCCACTGTTTTAAGCGGGTGTCTCTCCCCCCCTGGTGTCTACCTCTGCTGCACAAAGCAGAGGGGGAAGAGGAGGGAGGTGAGGAAAGGGTGAGGGGTAATGTGCGCGGGTGTTCACAAACGGCTCCTCTCGACTGCACGCAGGTCAAATGAGCCGAAATGAACAGCTAACAGCGCCATAGGAACCGGCAGCAACGCTAGTGTTCTCCCGGGGAACGACGCGCGAAGCGGGGTGTTGTCCGTCGGCACTCCCGTCCAAAAAGGCAAAATAAAGACACAAATACTATATATATACAAGATCACCCGCAGAAGAGAATAGAAACACTTAGAAGCAACAAAAATACACTGGAATAGGTAAAAATAGGCAATGGAATCGAAAAACTAAAGATTAAGAGGAGGAAAGCGACAAGGCAATGCGATCTTAAGGCAGAGCGGCCAGGCGAGGGACAGTCTCTCCCACAATTCCTCGCGCGCGGGCCGGGGCGCTTGGGAGATTTGGAAAAAGGTGTATTAGCTTGTAGTCGAAGGTTTGTTTCGCCTTCGAGAAGCGAGAAAATGTCACCCTTTAACGGATGTCTTTTTTGGTCAGTTTACTGCGACGGATGCTGGTTCCGTGCAGCGATAAGCTTGTGAAGGATATTGAGATGGATGGGTGAATAGATGGACTGATAAGTAGAAAACCCACCTTTTTATGAAATCGAAGGTTCAGAAGTTTAGCAGCAAGATACGGCATTTCCTGAGCATTGCGTGCTCGAGGGCAAGTAGTTGCCCCTCGAGCAGAGAAGCTAGATCCTCCATTGAGCTTAGTGACCTAAATTTAGTTCCCCTGACATCTCCAATTTCGTGCACAAGATTGCTATTCTATACGCTAGATATGGCGTCGTGAGCTTTTCCAAATACCTAATGTATTTCACCAGTTTTGGTCAAAAGTAACGAGTAACGTAAGTTCATAGCCGATACCATAAAAAAGTAACGCAAATACTTTACTCGTTCGGCATTCAGAATACTAAGCAGTACGTTACTGCGTTAGTGAGAAATGTAACGCGTTACCAGTAACGTCGTTCCTAGTAACGCGTTACCTACAACACTGTGCGATACCCTTTTGCTTATTTCGTTTCTGTTTCGTAGCAGCCAAAACACAAGGGAACACGCATTACATGGTGGCTTCGACTTTGCACGATCCCCGTCCTGATTCAGCATGCCTGGCCTATCTTTTCACGTCACTTTCGATTGTTACACCTTACCAGGTAATCGCCCGAATTGTGCCAGAGCCAACGTCACAAGTTTACTTCAGCTGTGGAACTCCCGCAGAAGCAGGAATTCCCCTCACCCCTTTCAGTACGCCTCCCGTCGTAAGAAGCGCCATCATGATTTTCCTTTCAAAACTGTGTGTATCATAAAGTACGGTGAAACGCCATCTACAAACTTTCAGAAAAGGTTGCGCAAAGGGACCACCTGTCGTCATTCGTCCCCTTGACCCTAAGCCGTCTATTCAGAAGTGGTTACTCTACCTGTTCACCCCTCAGACAGTTATTCGCTCCCAATGGCGTTACTCTCCTATCTGCTACTTACTCCCCTTTTCAATGAAATCTACATCAAGCTTTCGATGAAGCATCACTCGAGTTTCTGTTTTTTTAAAGAAGCCTTGAAAAACAAAATTTCGTCCCGTGATTTAAAATAGTGATCATCCGCTTTTATTGAAATTCTCCGTCCTCGAAAAGCACGAATACTGATTCCGAGCGACGCGGAGGCACCGGTAACGAGGCTTTCTAGCTCTTCTTTTACTACCGCTTCTCCACGCCTCCGAAGCGGCCAGTGTTCCTCGAAGCGAAGTCGGAATAGGACGTCGGATCGATTGAACGGCGAGCTCGTTTTGACTAATTTGACTATTTGTGGAGCAGCAGGGTGGTCGTCGGATTTTTAAAAGGTGCATCATAAACCCGTAGGATTGCCCTGTACGAAGCTCGCTATCTGACGCAATCGGGCGCGTATCCGCCTGTGTAAGCGTCAACGGAAGAATAAGGCATAATATTTCGAGAATATTCCGGTGATTTGGTCATTCGAGAATATTCCGGTCATATTCCGAGCATTTGGTCAAATGACGTTTCGTCGGCAGATAGTTTTGTCGACAGTGCTACGTTTTATCGACAATTCGTCCCATCGAAAGATTTTCCTGTTCCTTCCATCTACGCACCTTGCAATGATTCACCGAAAACGTCTTCCCGTGCATATCGCCTCAGTCGCCGGCATTCGGGTGGATAGTCTAGCTTCTCGAAACCTTGGCCGTTCCTTTGTGACCTGGTGCAAGCTCAGTCCTGAGTTTATATTACAGTTTCGTCCTGATGCTTTTGGGACAGAGGGATGGTCAAGGGGTTTTCGCGCGCAGTGCGGACTATGTGGAAGCCTGCAATTAGCGCTCGCGAACTCGTTTTTTTTTCTCGTTTTTTACTATCAGAAACTCCTGTGAAAGTCTGCTTTAGTTTAGGTATGCTTCTAGCGAACAAAATAAAGCCAGTTATTCAATCCGCTTAGTAAAAAATAAAGAAAAGAGAAGGTCGACGAAACTTTGCAACATAGGAAACTGCGGGAGCATGTGTCCACGAAACATCGTAATTTCAAGAATTGCCAGCGCGTGTGTTTAATTTAGCTTTACCTAATGATTTTACTTTCTCCTGGGGTTCGCGAGTGTTTTTCGGCCGATGCTGCTCGCCTTACGGCGCGACTTATGCTTTCTATCGCAGTCGGGAGGCCCCGATTGAGGGCGAACGTGAAGGCTGTAATGGTACACTGTTAGCAAAAATAACACGCCCAGACGTGTAAAC